AGCACAATGAGAGTAGGTGAATTACTACTACTTATTCTCTGATTTATCTTTTGAAAGTGGAATTTTTTTTCACGACAACCACGATACAAAATGTTCATCGACGCAATAACACATTCACGTGACGTGAATCACGTCAGCAGCTGTCAGATATCAGTGGCTGGTGTAGCTGGATGACACTCAATGCTGTGGCCATTTGTTTTGCTCGGATGTGTTATTTTCAATCGGTGTGAGTCATTCGATGTTCAAGTATGTGTTATTGCGTCGCAACCGGTCACAACAAAATGAACATTTTGCATCGTGGTTGTCGTGAAAAAAAATTCCAGTTTCAAAACATAAATCAGAGAATAAGTAGTAGTAATTCCCCTACTCTCATTGTGCTAATAGTAATTTAAAAGTTGAACATTTTTTACCAACAATGTCGGTTTGATCCTGTTCGTTTGTGTTTATTTTGTTGTACAATGTGAAATCTGGAATGAATGAAGAAGCTGAAGAAGAAGGGAAAGAGAGAGAGACCGAGAGCGAGTGAGTGAGCAGTTTGTGTTTGTCGAGCGGTGTGCAAAATGGAATTTCAAGTTTCTGTGTAACGACCAAGAGCCGGAAAGAATGAACGAACGACAGTGAAAAAAAAACACGAAAGAAAAAAAAACAGATTCGACAGCTTGGCTCGAAGATAATGTGTAAGACAATTCGCATTGAAAATGATGCAAAGTACATAGCAAAAGGAAGGAGAATTGCAAAGGATTTTCCATCTATTGGCCATTGTTTTAATGAGACACACACACACACACACTTTTTGGTGAGGTGATACTATTTCGGGCATAGTGCAGTTTGTGCACACGTTTATTGTTTTTTTTTTGTGTTCTACTTCGCCAGTTCAGCCTCTGTGCAAACAATTTACAGGAATATTATGTATGCAATTCGGCATATGAGTGTGTGTCTTTAAAATAGAAAAAAAAAACGAAATTCAGCCTGAATATTGACTGAAAAATATTACGCTATTATTTGGCCACTTAATGTTTACTCCAACGAAACAAGGCTGAAATTTGTCAGTGTTGTGTCTTGTGTTCGAATGTGCTCATAGCTTTCTTTAAGTCTCGCGCGCCCGCGTTCGCTCTCTTTTTGTTTCCATTTCAGTTGTTTCATGAAAGTCGAAAATTGCTGAACCAATATTTTAGTTAAATTTACCGAACCGTAGTGCCTTTAACAATCGAGTTGAGTGCAAAAATTGATGTGTGTATTATTTTTTGGTCTCTGTTTTTGATACAAGAGTTTGACCAAAAAAAAAAGAGAAAAAGAACAAAGTGGGAAGGAAAGAAAACGTTATTCACGGTGCGATCACGGCACTGTTGTTTGTAATTTGTTTGCAGTTAGTGACGATTCAAGTGATCTTGTTGACATCGAAAGCAATTGACAGTCGAAACGAAAAACAAATCGTTTGTATGTCATCATTACCACAATCTAAGGCCCCAACGACAACAACATTTGCAACAACAACGAACGCCATCAATTGACACATAATAGCCTCAAAATAAAGAACGAACAAGCGATACGATCATTGGTGCCGACATCATTTATTGGAAATTATTCGATTTGCGTGCATTGCCAAATAGACAAACAAACCAAAAACAATTGCAAACTCTCTATCGCATCAAAGTAGAATAAGGAACAGATATATCCACTCTATTTTACTCGCGATCGCATAATGCAATAGCGCACAATTGATTTCAATTATAATAGTGTGGTGGCGAGAGAGTGGAGAGAGAGAGACAGAAAAGCAACAGCATCAACAACGATAATAAATCTCAACTATTGCGGAATATGTATACATATCGAATGTGTGAATTGGTTTTCGAAGTGCAAGTTTCTTTGTTCACACTTTGGAATCGGGATATCGCTAGCTGCTGTGAATATATATCTCGTGTTTAACTCACTATACCGACATTGAGCATACGCTGAGTGTGTGTATATGCACAGAGGGAACTATGACAACTGTCACTGCCTTGTATAGCGCAAAGTCATAGCAAACGTGCGGTGTGTGTACATGTATTTTCTACAATTTCGATTCGATTCGAAACAATAACACCACAGTGCACCTGTAACCAGTGTGATTGGCTCGGTGTGTGTGTCCGGAGAGCAAAGAACGAGATACCAAAGTGTGTGTGTTTCGGATTGAGCATCTCTCTCTCTCTCTCTCTCGATCTGTGTGTGTTGTCTCGATGTTCAAGTTTGTGTTATTGCGTCGTTGAACATGTTGTATCGTGTTTGCCGTGAAAAAAATTCCAGTTCAAAACATAAATCTAAAAGTTCGAAATAATACAGGAAACATACGCAACAATGTCAGACTCAAGAAAAAGGCCACACAATTTCAATCAATGGTTGGTCACTTCCAACAGTTGCTCGGACAATTCCGATTTGGAATTAATATCGGTCACTGATATCAGTGAAGTGTTAAACACAAATGAAAACGTCACAAATTGTAAGTATGATATATGAGTTTGGTCTTTTGTGCTGGGTTAAGTGAATTTTTTTCGAACTCCTATTTTATTGTGTGTTTGTTCATTTGAATGAATCAGCTGAAGTAAACCGTGAGTCGAATGAATCGAACGAGATGCCAAGCGAAATTAAATCAACCAGTACTCAAATCCCAAATTCTTCGTCTACAACTGCTCCACGCAAGTGTTACGATCAAGTAAATTCTGGTTCAAGTCACACCAAGGCCAGCACAAGTTCAGCGCCAAAATCGAATCTGAAAAATGTTGCATCACAAGGTCAACGTGCGCAAGTCGAATCGACAAAAGGTGATTTTGCATTGAATGTCTGAACTGAAATATCTTGTTTGATTTTTTTTCATACTCCTTTTTTATTGTGTCTGTTTGAAAGCAGAGTCGGCTAAATCGAACGAGAAACGAATTCAAATTGGCTCAAAAAGGAAGCATGATGAATCGGACGATGCAAGTAAGAAGGCAAAGAATAAAACAGTGAATCGTGGCTTGGGTACAATGAACGAGAAACGAATTCAAATTGGCTCAAAAGAGAAGCATAAGGATTCGGATGATGCAAGCAAGAAGGCAAAGAGGCAAGGTGGCTCAAGTATAATGAACGGGGAACAAAATCGGCGTGGTTCGAATGAAGCAAGTGATCATGGTGAACAGAATTTTGAGTTCGAAGATTCAGTCCTTGATTTTGACGATATGTCTGCAATTGGAATAGGTAATTGAATAATTTCGGATTTTCTTATTTTAAAGGCAATTACTATTATTGTTATCCCACTTTTTAAAAAATCGAACAAATTGCTCGCAACGTGGAATACAAAGAGCGAATCTACGTTGGAAATTGTGTCTTGCTACGAAGACTTCAGACTGAGTGATCGAAACCAAAGTGTATACACTGCAAAGTGTAAGTTCTGTGATGGAAGCGCCGCGCCGAAATCATTCATGAAAGGAAATAATTCAAATCTCAGATCTCATCTGAAAAAAGTATGTTCTTTTATTATTTCGTTTCGAGTTAAATGACCATTTAATGGTTCACTTGAATATTGAAAATTTATGCATTCTCAAGGTACACAAGTCAGAATGGGACGCTATTGTTGCAAAGCTCGAGGGTAAAAAGGAAGCAAAGCTGATTGAACAGCAGAAGCTGCCTCCAGATAAGAAGACACAAATTGAAAATGCAATAGTCGAGTTTGTAGTGAAAGAACGGCTTCCGATATCCAAAATGGATAGCGTTCATTTACAGAAATTAATCGATGGTGAGTTTTATGATTTTTTTGAACAAGAATTGTTGGTTTCCTTTAAAAAAATGCAAAGCTATCGTGTCGATTTTGTTTTTCGACTTTTTTTTAAATTTGCATAGTCTGTTTGGACCGGGGCAAAAGGAATGCAAACAGTAAAAAGGATACATATTTGTCGGGTAGGAAAGGCAGAGCAAGAATTACGGTAAATTCTGATTTTAATAACGAAATTTCAAATAACTTTTAATCGAATTTCATCTTAAATTCTTAATGTTTGTTTGATTTTAATGCCTCAATGCAAAAGCATTGGCTGCTGAGCACAAAGCTGAATTGGTTGAAACATTCAAATCAGTCGATTACCTCAGTGCAACATCGGATGTATGGTCGCGATCAAATAAGTCCTTCTTGGCAGTCAGCGTGCACTATTACACGAAAAATATGGAGCTGAAAACGTCCTTCATAGCGTGTGAATTGTTTGAAGGTATTTTTGCGCATTTTATTAGCGTTTTTCCTTGATTTTCCCGTGCAATTTTCAATTTTTGGAATTTTTTTCATCTCATCTTTTCGTCAGGTCGTCATACGAACGACAAAGTCGCCGCCAAACTGAATGAAATATTCAAACGGTTCGGGATATTGGAGAAAGTGTTTTTTGTGACCACAGATGGAGCGGGGGAATATACTGCCGCATTTAAAAACTACGGCGACAATTACCGATCAATTGAATTGCTCAACAGTTACCAAGATCTTGAATGGTTCGGTGGAACAGCTGCACGTTCATCTGATTCTGATGATGAGGACAATAGCGACTCGGAGCCTGAGGATGAATTTGTTCATCGTATAGACAGTAGAACCGATCAAATGTCGGCTGATATTCAAGCGGAATTCCAAGTGCACCGAATTTTTGAAGGTAGGGAATAAATTTAATTTACACTTTTTTTTCGAAGTTAACATGAAGTCCAATTTAGATCGAGGTGACGACACTGAACTCCCATTGCTGCGAAATATGAACAGAATCGCCTGTTCTGCTCACATGCTTGACAAAATTGGCAAAAATGATTCACTAAAGGCAAAAACTGATCCGACATATGACAGCATTTTTGAACGTGTGTTCGCAAAGCTGAAAACGATCTGGGACCTGAAAAATTCACGCCTATCCTCCGAAATATTCACGCATTACACGCAACGAAAATTGGTGGGACCTCATCGTATTCGATGGATGTGCACGTACGATGCTGTGAGTACCGATTGAGAGATCTTTTTTAAATATTTTAATATTTCAACGATTCCAACTATCAATTTCTACTTGTTTGATTTTGATTCCAGATTGTAAACATACGTTCTATTGAGCGAACAAAGTTGGAGAACTTTTGTGACGAATTGCAAATCTCCAAATTCGATGACGATGAGTACATTTTTCTAGAAGAATATATTGAAGTGATAAAACCCGTGGCGGCAGCACTTAAAACATTGGAAGCAAACAAATATACTTCTGGTATCTATTTACCGATTCTGGTTGGCCTTCGTAGCGCATTGAATAATTTGCATGAGCAAAATCTAATGCATTGCCAACCTCTGATCGAAGCTGTTGAAGCCGGATTCGAACGAAGATTCGGCAATTTGATGCTCATTTACAATGCCAGAAGTGTACCTCTATACATTGCTATGGTGTCAAATCCTCGATTCAAGCTGAATTTTCTTGGATACAAACAAAGAGTCCCTAGGCACATTATTGAGAAAGTTCGGAGCATGCTCGTGAGCGCGGCACAAGAAATCAGAAAGCAGAGGAGCGAAAAGGAAGAGGAAAGACAACACGGCAATTCAACACAGCAGCCAGTTGTTGGAAACAATGCGCTAGCACCTGGTAAATATATTTTTTTTTCAATTCCATTCATTTCACTTTGTAGATGCATAAAAAAAAAGATTTTTCAATATCAATGATTTTTTTTTTCGACAGTGTTTGGCCTTGGGCTAAATGAAGTAAAGCTGTCAACGGACAAGAAGTTGTCCGTCCGTCCGTCCGAAAACTTCGGACGGACAAAATCTGTCGGACGGACAATGTCCGAATTATTTTATTTCGGACAAACGGACAACG